AATGGCAGTTACAATAGGAGCAAAAAGCCATGATGCCGTTCTCTTGCTAAGTTTCGCTCTGTTCGTTCCTTTAGTGCCAGCTGTAAGATCACTTCTGGGTTCTCTGTGTGTGTGTCTTTAAACAATCAGAAACAGCCAAGTATACTACTTTACTTGTATCTGGCCCACCTAACACTTAGTTAGCTTATTTGGTGTTTCTCTGGGTGATTTTCAATTCTGTTTTTCAATATTTAAAGCTGCAACATTTGAAATTGGTGACCGTTTGTAACAGATGGCTGATGTGATGTATGTGGCACTGCTATTTCTGAATCATTAAACCATTACAAACACCACCAGAAATGTGCTGCCTATTGATGGACCATAGTTGAAGGAGCTTTACAGTAGAGTTGGGTGCACTATTTCAGACCTGAGAGCACCTAATACCACACCAAAATGGTAGCCTTTTGTTTCCGTTTTCCAGAACTAACATCTCTCACAATGATGACTGTATAAATTCATCACCGATAAAATTAAACACATTCAGGCAAGTAAGACCCTAGGTCTGAGCCAACAATTTACATTTATATAGCACCCTTCATTTTACGTAGATGATGTCTCGGAGCACTGAAAACTCTGAGATAGCAGTGTTCTCACAACAGTGAATTAAAGAGGGGGAAAATATTAGATTACATTGCAATCTAATGTTTGTTGGAAATTGTTTCTGAGTGGATTTAGGGTGAAGACTGGTTTGAACCCTGCTGTGATACTGCCTATATTTGAAAAGCCTGGTGACATTCCCTCAAGAGGCTCACACATAAAGAAGGGTCAGTTAAGAGATGTGTCAGATGGCTATTTGTGCAACCATATGAGTTCCTGCTTCGAGCGAAGCCTGTGTCAATGGTGTACACATATTGGGTTTTTGAAACGCATTCAGTTTTGTGAAGACAATGTACATTGCGGCTCAATGGTGCTTGTGAAAAAAATACATTCGCTGAGTTAGGTTTATTGCATGGCTGTGCATGTGTTGGAAACATGAACAATTTATTAACTACTGTTAAAGGCTGTGTATGGTGGTGATAAAGTATTGACCTGAGGGTTACATAAGTAACACGCTGAGGACCTAATCGCAAAGTGGCCCTGTCTATACCATTTGGGAAAGCTATTGTAGTCTTAGACCTGGAGCCAGTATTTTATCTTTGAAATTCAATTTATTTAAACTACAAGGGAGGTGTTTATTCATTCATTGTGAACTATAATGTGTGCTTCATTACATCAGCAAATAAAAGTACTTTGACATATGGCACCACTTTGTCTCATGAAACCCAAGGGAAATGCTCACTTTCCTGTATGCTAAGATTGGAAGAGGGTAGGATGGGTTTTGTCAAAGGATGCGATTAGATGGTCCATAGAGCTTTCTTTATCGAAGCAACAAGGTATTGATTATTTGGGGAGAATTCTCCCTTACCAACCTAGATTCGGGGAGAAGAGGGAACTTCTGCTGTTTGTGTTACAATCTTAACAGGATATGAGTGGTAAGTGCACCATTTCCAGAAATGCATTTGTCTTGGAATTGGAATGTACATCAATACTCAAAAGTTTTTGTTAGTTGTGGTTTTCCTGTTGTATGTTTGATATTTTCACTTTCTATCTTTGGACTTATTTTAAATAAAGTTTTTATCAGATTTCTGAATTTTCAATTACTCTGCCCTTTTTCTCTCACCAACCACACAACTGCTCCACAACAAAATAACATTTGGGGGGCAAAGATTGTCAAGAAACATTTTCCCCTGATACCACATTAATGGTCAAATGCCGAATAAAATGTTGCTAATGCTATCCCTCCTCCTCCTCCAGCACAAACTCACCTAATATTTTCCCTTTCAGCATCAGCTGCCATCTTTAATTATTTTGTCATGCATTTACAGAGCAGTTCCTCTCTTCTGACAGCCACATTGGTGGGAGGTGGGATAAAATGGCATGAAAATGCTGTACAAAGGCAAGTACCTGACGTACCAGTTTTGGAAATTGGGGCTGTCAAGTTTGACGTGTCATTGGGGGCAGACTTCTTATTAAAATTGTTTTCAGCTGTCATTGATTATGCTGAATGCATTGAAACACAAGTCTCAGCAATATCGCGCATCCATTACTTTGTAATAATAATAATAATTATAGTAATCCTTGCATTTGATATAGCGCTTTTCACGTCTTCTAGACATCTCAAAGCGCTTCACAGAATATGCTGTAAAGTGAATTGACTGTACATTTGTGGGCAAAACGCAGCAGCCAATTGTGCACAGCAGCGTCCCACAACCAGTCATGGATTGAAGTCGTCATCTTGCAAATCGATGGAGGTAGCCTTGTTCACAGGTTCAGAGGGCAATCATACAAATCCCTTTGGTACCAAAGCAAATATAGTATTCGCGCCAACGCTGGCACAGTCCAAATGATGTTGGTGTTTACTTGTGCTATTCTGCAACATAAATTTGACACATCATTTATAATAATATAAGAATCCTTTCATTTGATGTAACTCCTTATCACAGCGTTGAGATGTCTCAGAGGTTTCACAGGATACACTGTAAAGTGATGTGACTGTATTTTGTGGGTGAATGTGGCAGCCAGTGTGCGGACAGCAATGTGTCAGAGCCATGGAGTGAGTGATCAATTTTATTTTGGGGATTATTGGCCAGGACATTCGGAGAAACTCACTTCTCTTTTCAAACTTAGAATAAGTGTAGTTTATTTTTCAGTGTCATTCATACAAATTCTGAAATTCAGAAATTCTGCACGTTCCCGCCCCACCCACTTCACCCTAGTTTTACTGAACAGTGTCCCTCAGAGAATCATGCCATCGATAATAATTTTCATTGCATGTACCAGCAACTCCCAAGGAGCTGCCTGGTGAGCAGCACAGCTGAGCCTAATATGTATGAGAGTATTGCCACCATTCTTCTGCCCACAACTTGGATGCACATCCCTACCCATGGAGCGATGCTTGCACCAGTTAGAGGTGCGGAACTTGAGCTGCTTACTTCCCCCGCAAGCTAATCAAGGTGGATACCAAGCCCTGTACCTTCACAAATCCTGACTCCCAAGTAATGCCTTTCAGCAGCTGTTATCCCAAGCATCAGAGTTTCCTCATCAGTTATTTTTGTACATCTGCCTTCAGCGTGCCCTTTACAGGACAGCTTGTGACATGCCAGCCACCTTGGTGTTCTTGCGGTTCAAGTCCAATGTTGCACACCAGGCATAATCGACACCAATTCAGGTCCTCGTGTGAGGGGCTTTGGCAAATAGACATACCCACCATGAATCTGACTCTGTCTCCAGAGTGCTCAGAAACAGTTTATGCTGGAGCCCTCTCTCCCTACAGTTGCTTCCCTTTTTTTAATAATCATAAATCCATCTCTTTGCTTAGTCCTGGATTTCATAAATGGACCAAAGGAAAGATATCTGCTGTATGGCCAGGAGTCGGAACCATAAAGGAGAATTGTTTGCACATGCATTGTAACTGTCACAGCCTAATTTGGATTGAAACCTTAACTGTCTTGGAAGAGAGATCAGAATGACCTTCTCCCCTTTTCAGCACGATCCTGTACAAGTACAAGGTGGACAACGGTTGTCCATCACAGCCCACAAATATCAATAAGAATCAACATTTAGGACAGATGTACCTTGCACCTTCTTACCAATACGATCAAGGTCCCCCCTTGACCAGTGCAGAGCCATGTTACCTAACTTGGGAGCACCCACTATTATGTCCCACTGAATGGCCCAGCGCTTTGCACTGGTGAGTGCAAAGCAGGAGATTTTCCGGGTGAGTCTGCTAACAGCACAATATCATCTGCAAAATTTCTATCTTCATATATGTACGCCTTTACCATTTTTGGATAAAAATGCTGCACCCTGCTGTCTGAACGTTTATTTTTTGAAAAGGGTAATGCCTTGGCATAGCAGGGGAAAGGATTGTGTCAGCACAACAACAATAAAAAGATCAGTGTGGCAATTGTCTGTTATTTAGGTGTGAATGGTGACAGGTCCCAAATAAGCCAATTTTCTGTCTCCTTCCAATCTACCTGAAAATGGAAACTAGAATATATGGTATACCAATCCGTACTCATGTAGGCGAGATTTTATTTGCTTTGAGAATGATTTTGTTTACTGTACTCTGCCAGCGCTATTTGTACATTGTTGCTAAGTCTTCTGGCATAACAAGACCTTAAGACTTCCAGATTTCCGTTCAATTATTTACATTTTCAAGCTGAATTGTTGTTGCCAGACAAATATTTTTCATTAAGTGTTGGTAATATATTAACTAACTAAACATTTCTAGGCAACAGAGAAAGACCAACGTGCTCTTAGTGTGTGTGTTATGTTTTTTTCAGACCACCAATATCACAAGTTGTCCTGATATTAAAAAGACGGTCCAGATCTTGCTCCAACCTGTGTTCTTTTTAAAATATGTGTTTTCTGTTCTTTCAAAAATGTTAATTGCTTTCATACTATTTTCCAGCTAGTTACCAAATAATGCTTTTAAATTGTTTAACCCTTCGTCTTCCAAGACTTTTCAATCCTGTCAGAATATTTTGAATATTGTTAACACAGAATGCTAAGATAGTCTTTTAATTGCACTATAAACTACTGTAGTAGGATTCTTCTGCACTATTGTTTTTTCCCTCCATTCAGTTAAATAGCGTGAATTTCAAGATGAGGCTGAGCCTTGGCAGTACAATAAGAGCATATTGCTTTTTTTGTAGTTTGGAAACTGAATGAGTATATTGTTTATTTGTGATGTTACCTTCTTTACTGTTTCTCCACACTTTTTATACCCTGAACATCTGGGCAGTGGAAAAATCCATTCTTTTCTAATGTCAAAAGCATCTCAAAAGTGTCACCTAAAATTCTAAATTTCCCCAAATAATGGAGTAATGCCAAATATTAGTCCTGTTCCATCAATATGTTCAGTTATTAATTCATTAGAATTTTAAAGTATATCTGATTCAGACTACTTTGCTTTACAGAAAAGCTGGAATATGAGGTTGAGACTGCCTTGGTTGTGAAGAATTGGCTGCAAGGAAATTGATTTGAATTTTCTTGGACATTTATTTGGTAAGTGAAAAACTATTTTAATGCGATTTGTTTTTCATTTATTTGGAGAACGCAAACCTCTATTTAGAGAACAGTAATAGTTCTGTGATGATTGCCGAGCAAAGAGAAGAATTTTTTATAAAAAAGAAAATGTGTAAGCATGACTTGATGGGAAATAATTGTTTCCATGTTTGAAATTGTAACAGCTGAGTCTGAAAATGAAGAGCATGGTAGTTGCTTCTTTTCTCAGGAGTTTCAGCTGGATGACAGCCAGTACTTTTGTGTTGTCTGAAATGACAACTGAAATTAATGTGACAGTTTTGCAGCAACAATATGGTATTTGTGTAGAGTAACACTTATCAAAAACTGACATTTGAAAAATGAATTATGTCATAACAATTTTCCGCATTCGCTTGTCTCTCTGAATTGCCCTCATTTACAGTAACCACTTAGGAGAAAAAAACGAGAAGGGCGACATATCAAAAGAAAACTTAGATTTAAATAAGTCTGATAATGTATAGCTAATACAGTTGACTTAAGCAATCAAAATCATATTCATCTTAATCTTAAAGAGACCACTCCTGAACATGGTTGATGCTGGGAACTATTACTTATATAGCATGTCAAATATACAGTGTCAGGATTGTGAACAGTTACAAATTGTGGAGGAGGGAAGTGCAGATTTTTTTTTACATTTTTTACATTTTACATTTTTACATGTTTACAAAATTTACATTTTGCACAGGACAAACATTAAACATTCTAAGAAACATTTAACATTCTCTAGTCCGTACTGCAATTTCAGAGATGATGGGTTAATTTTCTTTTTACTAAAATAATCGTGGATTATTAGCTTCCCAAGAAACATTTTGCTGTAGATATATAACCAGAATTAATGTCAATAAAAAGAAAAGAACAAATGTGGGTGTAGTTCAAAATCACATCATTTTGTGACTGTAAATAATGGCAATTCATGAATTAAGATACAGTTTTTTTTATTTGATTCAGTCTTAGTTTCAATATCTTTCAAAAAGAATGAAGTGGGAAAATCATCCACAGTTTGGATATCATTTGTCAAATGAATTGTGGTTTAAGTGCAACATTAAAATCATATGTACACATTGCTATTTTTAAGGAATTAGAATACCAGTCTGATCAGTAGAATTTTACTTTGTCCATGAAACATGAGGCAAATATTGAACCATAATGCTTTCACAATCTGGTTACATTTTATTGATTTTTTTTGGTCCGATGGGTGTCTGACACATTCGGCAATCCATCACCATGCTTAAAATTATCCAAACCAAGCTGAGATTTCCATGCATCCTACCTACACATGGAAATTCCAGAGATAGATTGTTGGAATGGACTCTCTTGGAATGGAGAGTCGCACCCTGCTTACCCAATGCCGGAATGTATTAGTTCCAGGTTGGCAAGAGCCAAGGCTTGGAGACCCCAGAGTGTGCATCGGGATGCTGCTGGAGTCTAACCAGCTAAAACCACATAGCTTGCCATTGACATTGCTGTCTGGCAAGCTTTCCTGCTGCTTGTTCAGCTAGGACCAACCTAACCATTAAGGCTTTGGCTTGAAGGATTCACAGGAGATGAGTGGGATGATTCCTATTTCCAGTGACTGGTGTGCCTTTCCAAGGCCTGCAGAGGAGCCAGGCTGGCTGTGCTGTAATCAGCAGTACCCTGGAGTTGGTGGAGCCTGTTATTATTGATGTGCTATTTATTGGAAAATGAATGGAAGCGTTCTTGGCTGTAACCATGTTGCACCTCGCACTTCCATGTAGCTCAGTGGTTAGAGCACTCGCTTTGCAAGCGAGAGACCTGAGTTCAATTCCAGGCAGGGCGAAACCTTGGGCAAGTTTCCTTACTCCACACGCCTGATAATAATCCCTCCAAAAAAACAAAAACAATAATAAATTGGTCATTTTCAATCTACGACTGTTTGTGGGACATTGCTGTGCGCAATTGGCTGCCGCGTTCGCCCACAAATATACAGTCAATTCACTTTACAGTGCATTCTGTGAAGCGCTTTGGGACGTCCTCCTGACGTGAAAAGCGCTATATCAAATGCAAGGATTATTATTATTATTATTATTATTTTTGCCTCACTCTGTTTAAATACTTCTATTTAACACACCATTACATCAGACTGTCGATTGTCAACTGGGCAAGTCATCTGCTTTTCTGCTTCTTTTATGGGACTTTTGAATCAGCAACTTGGATGTACCCAAAAGAAAATTTGTGAAATTTTGTCCTTTTACTCCATGTGGAGAGACATCTATTCTGCACTTGGCATTTCATCTCCTACTGATGCCAACATTTGGGGAAATGAGCTGCAAACCAATGTATTGCTCACCCTATTGCACTTTACTTTCCATGACATTGCTATTGATATTTACCATGGTATCATTCCCCAAACAATATGATTTCTTTTGAACTAAAATACCTCTCCTTTCCCAACATTTTCTTTGTAATGTGATCCATTAACCTGGATGATTTTATATTTGTCTTGTAGTTCAGCCGTTCTGTCGATCTCTTTGTTCACTGTTCATGTGGTTTGATGTAAATAATAACTTACTATTATTATTAATATTCTTACATTTTTTTCTCTCTGTAAAATATTTTTTATACGTTTTAGTTTGCAAGAAAGGCAAATTATTCTAGTTCATTTGTGATTGAATAAAAGGAAACACCCAAATATTATACCTTAGGGTTTTTTGGCACCTGTTGTGGGATGATATTTTGAAAGGCTTTATAGGAGTGGTATAGTGGAGTGAATAATGATGAATCTGGTGTTTCACGAGTTGGAAGAAGTAAGAAGATGTGTGTTTGAAACTGTAGCCTCAAAAGGAAGAGGTAAACATTTGTCTTCACATGACTTTGAGATATGAAATGTACATACAGATATTTTTGTGATTCATTATTAAATTCAAGACAAACCTGGTGCATTCTTCATGCGTACAAGAATGCAGGTAGACTTGAACAAAGGGTGTGTGGAAGAATAATTTCAAGTAAACACAAATAATTGTTGCTTTGCCTTTGTTTTCATTCTAATGCAAAAGTCAAGAATGCTTTGTTATGTTGAGATGAGCTCATCTGGTGTAAATATAGAAAATGTGTCGCTAAGTCATTTAGGATTAGAATTTTGCATTCTTATTTCATCCAGTCTTAGTTTCAATATCTTTCAAAAGGAATGAAGTTTCAAGTCTGTTTCAAGTCATTTAGGATTAGAATTTTGATTTCTTATGTTTAAGGTTCATTAATTGCCTGATCATTAATTGATTGTCTTTAATATATCTCGGGGTGCTAAATGAGATATTTACAATCTTAAAAAAGAATTGTTTTCAATTATTTAATAGAAAGTATTCACTCAGCACAACATAAAACAGTTCCTTAAGTCATCTGTCTTTCTTCCCCTTCCTCTCTCCACACACATATATAATTGAAAAGATGTTTGCACTGTTGGAGATGCTGTTCATTCATTTTCCGTCTCGAAAAGTAGCGATACATCCATCCTTGTCCTTTTGCACAGTCAAAGATAATGTGATCACTGCTGCGAATGTTTGAAGCAAGAAAAAAATACAGATTTCTTCAACTGCAATGACACAAATGTGTGGAAAACAATTCAGTCTGCAGAATCTTATTTTGTGCTATTTTAGGAATACACACTTGTAACTTATCTGACAGATCAAGATTTGTAGTGTTGATGTTTTTCTATTTGAATGACATTTTATAAATTTTATAAATATCAGTACCAATATCCTTTAGTATTTTATCTTTAACTCCATCTTGATCAAATTTTGGCATGATTTCTCTGTCCGTTCTAAAATGACAGTAACATAAGGCCATGCCTCTACGTACTAAGTCATCAAAGTTTAGATACAAAACCTTGACAAGTGATTTTGTCCACAGAGGATTGCATGTACATTTTATTCAGATTATTCTCTGTATATCTTGTTATGTTTCCCCTCCTGTGCGATGCACAGACATTCTTTATAGGATAGAGCTGTAGCACACACAATAAATCCTAAACATAACTAAATTTAAGCCTGACGGAAGAGAGACAACATTTTAGTCCAATTTAAAGAGCATTTCCTTTGTGAAAATTAGTTTGCTAAACTTTTTTTTTCCCTGGGGAAGCAGTTTTTGTTTTCTCTGGTTAGTTAATTTATGTATTTTGGTATGAGTTCTAGCATCATCTCTTGGGCTTGGATAAAAGGATCATACCCCAAATGATAACTTGTTTGCTCTTTCAGATGTTTGCTGTATCGCTGTGCATTTTCAGGATTTTGGGTTTGCATTAGACTTTCATAAAGATGCTGTGCTTCAATACCAAGATTACTATTTCAGAATTAAAGAATACTGTCATTTCATAAATACTCATGGTATTTTATTTGTGCTAAGCAAAATTCTCTTCCCGCCCCCATTCTAACTCAATGAGGGAGTATAACCTGCATTTGTGGCATGCAATAATCACTGAAAATGTACAGTTTCTTTCCTTCTGGTTCATGAAAGAAAAAGATTGTGTATTTTGCAAGCTGAAAAGGTCTCTAAGCATTAAAGGATATTAATATAAATATAGGCATTATTAGTGTTGAGAGCGAATCTAACTTTCTGAAAGGTAAAGAATTTGTGTGGCAATCAAACGTCTAACAATTGAAAAGATAATAAAGAAAAAGCTCTGCCTGCATTTGTACAATTTCTAGCTTTGAGGTAATAGCTGTTCTTGTCAGAGGATAATTAAAAGGTGGAGTATATACGCTTTAAAATGTAGAAAATTGTATGTGTGCATGTTATATAATGTGGGTTCTTGCATTAGCAAAGGTTATAGAGTGTGAGTGAACGTCTTCAACATGGCGATACACAAAAGAGTTTGCCAGAGATTAGAAACCCTTAATACTTGTGTACCTTTCATCAATTAGTTTGAAACTTTTCTTTTGTTTAAGCTTTTTGTTGACTTGAAAACATCCATGTACCAGTGATTTGCCTCCCCACACACACGCGCACAC